AGATAGATAGATAGATAGATAGATAGATAGATAGATAGATAGATAGATAGATAACCAAGCAAGCAAGCAAGCAAGCACAGTCAGGCTTGCAAGACCCTGTTATTATAGTCTGTCACAATATAGTTCTAGCCTTCCTGTGGAGTTTGTTTCCTGATCTGATTTATCCCCAAGGGCTGACATAAATCAACCTCTACTGTATGTGGAAGAAACATAATGGAAATGATAAGGCAACCAGGCAGCTTATGTTAGTGCTGGTATCTGCACTGTACACTTACAACCAGAGGTGTCTTGAGCGGGAAGCAAAAATGTCAAGATGGCAGCTGCACCCATGTGATTGAAGCCCCACTCCTTTATATGCACTGTACATGTAAAAGGGGGGGAGGAGCTTTCAACATGGGGTTTTGGCCCCCGTCTTGATGCCCCCCCCCCCCAATGCCTCTGTATGCAACCCCAATGACTTTTCAGTCTAAGCCTTGTCTGGAAGCAGCCAACAGCTCCCAACAGGAAAACCAACCAACCAGGACACTTGCATTCAGTGTAATTGCAAATTAAACAACTGTGGGTGGGCTTAAAAGACTGGGACATGGATACGAAATGACTTGTAAATCAACACTAGTATTACCATAACAGCAAATGGAAAGATTGTCCCCCATACTAGATTAATAAGTGGGTATATAGTTTCAAAACCTCATTTATCTTTTAATGTGTGTGGCTTAACATGGAACTGTTTTTCAATTAAAATCTCATTATGTTTATAAATAAGCAATGCTTTTTAATGAGACAAAGCACTTCATGTGAATTTAATAGTTAGGAACTCATATTTAAAACATTAAGAATTGATAACCATTGCTGACATGGCATTATATTTCAATCAAAAGATATGCTACTTCTCCAGATCAAAGCAGACAGCTTGGACATTTATTAATGGGATTGATTTAGCATTAGACAAGCAGTGATGGAAAACCATAGATTTTCTTTGTGGGGAAAAGAAGTTTTTTTCAGAGTTGCAAAGATAATTGCATATTTGGTGCTTAGCGCGCATACTGAGATATATTAAGGTATTTCCCTCCATTCTTGTGAGAAGATTCTATTTAGTATCCACATATCCCTGTCACTGCATATATCAGATAAAAAAAGTTTCTAGAACTGCTTAGATGGGCGGAAGTGAACTGCAGATACCTGGGTAATCTCTGCAGGGTTGACTTTATCAGTTCTTGCACGGCACTGGGCCTGGTTACTTGAGGGGCTGCCTGTCTCCCAGCTGATTTAATCTGGCAGGGTTGATACATTCATTGATTAAACAAGACCACCTATTGGGGCCCTGGAAGTGCACCTTCTCTGTAGCAGCACCTGCCCACTGGGATGAGGTCCCCCCAAAATTTGAATGGCTCCCACCCTACTGATATTTTGAAGGACCTTGAAGACCTGGCTCTTTGCCCAGGGCTTTGGTGAGGATGACTGACACCCCTTTTTTGCTTTTTGTTCCCCTCCAGGTTTTTCTTTGCCATAGTTGTTCTTCTGGTATTAAAGTTCTTGTTGTATTAAAAGAAATGGCTTATTTTGTTGGCTATCAGATCTGTTGTGGGGAAAGCAACTTACCGCTGAGAGGACAGCTTCCTTTCTTGTATTGAAAAAAGCAACTCCAGCACCATGTTTAGTCCTTGGGCTACCCAATTGCTACTAGTCTTTGAGAAAGTATCTTCCTCTGTTTGGGAAAATAACTATTACCTAGATCCATTTTGAAAAAATTAAGGAATAGAATGAGGAGGAGGAAGAGGAGGAGGAGGAGGAGGAGGAGAAAAGCAGCAGCAGCAGCAGCAATGATGTAAATCAAAGCAAAAGCAGCCTCTCCAACAAGATCCTTTTATTGTATGTTCTAATTGATTGGAAGCTCAGTAGGTTTCTCAAGAAGCAATGGTTTAAACAGATTCCTAGACAGCTTCCTTTACACCTACTTGTCTTCCCTAGCAACTTCCTTCCTATTCAAAGTTTACTGATCTTTATGTTTTTCCCACATGCACTGGCCAGATATTTTTCAGAAACGTTCAAAACAAGGTGTGACAGCACTAGCCCTCCCACTGTTTTCACCCCTAGCACAGCAACTTTTGATAGAACTGCCATTAGTTTTGACAGAATTACCTTCTGTGGTTGCAATTAAATTTCCTTTAGAGTAGGTGACTAGAGGCTACTCACATTTTGTAATAGCCTATGTTCCATATTCCTTTATAGCAGAAGGCTCTATCAGGGCAATAACTTTAGCTGAAAAGTTGGAAGTATTGGGAATTGTTAAGACTGCTGAATTCAAGTGAGGTGTTCTGGATAGATTCCTACAGTATAAAGCACATTCCGCTCATACAGAACAAAGAGACTATTACAGAGCAGACTTAAGTTGTTTCTTCAGAAGGGATTTCTAGCATCTTATAGCATTATTCAACCTTCAAGATACAGCTACCTCAGCAAGAAAGCAGGTTTAAATCACCACAACTATAGTTGGGTGACCCTATGACTGACTGGGGATGAAATGGCTATAGAATCATATCAATGATTTCAAAGCAATTTTCATATTTGAGGGATTTTGTTGGTTTTTCAGCAACATTAAGCACGTGGTGCAAAAATTAAAATATGGCTTCATTTGAAAGCAGATGTAAACTTTAAGAGGCATTCCACATATTACCTTTTTTTTCCTTTCAAAGCAAAACCAGGATATGCATGTTAATCAGAAGCAAGCCCCATTGAGTTCATTGACACAGATTCTGATTTAATTTGTACATCAATTTCATAATATTTTAGGCAATTATGGATGCCTGCCATTTCCATTTCCTTTCAGCTTTTGGATGTGGTCTGTTGAACCAGGAAAAGACTATAGGATTTTTATAGGTCTCATGAAAAGACAGATGGCTTTGCAGTAATGCACAATAGGAAATGTGTAAACTATCAGATATTTCTGAATTACTGACAAAGTGAAAAAAAAAATACTTGTTTATTATGTAAATCATCTTAATGTGCTAACACGCTAATGATAATTTATCATCTGGTAGCTTCTCTCCAGTAGACAGAACTATTTTTATTTTAATGGTTCTGGGTCTGGAAATCAAAACTTGCTTGACGGTAATGATCCAGGATTATGTGGGCACCATCTAATGGAAGTCAGAGGACTCTTCAGTGAGGGCTCTTTGCTTAGTTCTCCAGACTGAAGAGAGAATCACTATTAGTTCCTCAGGACTCAGAGAATGTGATGGAGGGTTCGGTGAACTGGAAAAGCTCCTCGTCATATAGTTCATCAGGCAGCTCTTCGGAATCAGCAAAAAAGGTTGGAAATGGTGAATTCTTAAGGGCATCTTGGTAAACTGGTAAAATTGTATCACTGACCTAGAACATAAGAACAAGAGGAGTTGAAAAGAAAGCACAGAAAAATTCCACATAAAACATCCTCAATATAATAGGGATTAACTGTCCTTTAAATGTGTATTATTGCCTTTATTTTTTACCTGTCATCAGTAACAAGATAATCAATGATTAAAAATCAAACTTTTATTTATGAAAATTGTAATATGGAAAAAATCAGTTAATTCAAAGTGATTAATCTATTTTTAAATACAAGGCATCTTTAAAAGCCTGGACATGATACTGTTAAAAAGTTACACATTTTTATAAAAAGTAATATCCCAGTATCATGTTTCCTGAACTGCAGAGTTACATTTAATAAAATTACAAATATTCTATATCCTGCCTGTTGTCCTCAGACAGCTACTCAAAGGATTATGAACAAAATGCCTAGTATAGCCCATGTCAGAATATTTTCCAGTCCTCCTGTAAAAAGGGACCCTCAATCCAACATGTTGCTGCCATCTAAATTCTCCGTTCAAATTCCCAATGGGCTAAGTGGATTTAAACACACACACACCACTGAACTGAAAAAGCTGAACATCACTGGAAACCTGATCCTTCTGTTTATCTCACAGCTGCTGAGGTGCTGCCTGTTAGCCAAAACCTTTATGAAAGACCATGCCTACGCTATTGACACTGTGGGATTTAAATTTTTCTGGAATAATAAACTTGAATGTTTTATTCTGGTAAACCAACGGAAGGCTGCTTTAAATAATGTGCAGTTAGCTTCCTATGATCTTAAAATAAGGTTAATACAACCATGAAATATTGTTTGATACACACTGGATACCTCAAAAAGTGTTTCATACAAGTTAGTTGCAATCATCTTATAGATGCAATTCAGAAGTTGGAATATTAACTCATAAGGTTGAGACTTGATCTACGATTGCCACATTTCAGACTGAAATCAACAGAATTGTTAATATGACTCTGGATTAATTACTAAAACACACATATGTTCGTCTTAGTTACATCCCTACATTTTGAATCTAACAAGAACTCAGGAACTGTGGATATTTGGGGCATGGAGGTAGAGGCTGGCTAAAGGAATTATGCTACAGCAATTGGAAGAAGGAATCTACCGGACGCTTGACTTGCAGCAATGGATCAATAATGTCTGTGGTCTGCTAGAGTCTGAATTATGCTTTTTCAATGAAAGAGCACAGAAGCAGAGCTTTGAGCAAAATGGACCACCTTTTTTCAACTGTTCTATTTATAACATAACTTTCCAGGCTTTTTAAAACATATATATATAATTATTCATTTGGGGGACACACTATATTGTTAAGATGTTTGCATGTGTACTTCTTCTATTAATTAGTGATATGATAAGATTAAAAATAGAAAAGAACGTAAAATCTTGAATATCCACAGGGAGAGTAAAAGCCACAAATGTTTGACAACCCCCAGAGAAAACAAACTGGTAATCAAAAGCAGAAGCAGAACAAGACAAACACGACTGCATCCAAATGACCTCAATCCTTTCCTGATAAGATGACTGAAGATTAAGTTCAACTCCTAGAGGAAAGAGCCAGGAAATCATCTTCAAGAAAGAAGCAATGCATGTCTATAGAATGGGCACCTGTCACGGAGCCATCAGACCACGCATAACAGAATATCCCACCAGATTACCTTTCCAGGGCAAAGGAAAAACACATAGAAGAGGGCAAGGTCTGCCTTCAGGCATGTGTTCTTGAAGTTGGTGTGTCTCCTAAAATAAAATCCAAACAGCAGGTATATCTTTGGAAATGAGACATCAGCATCTGGGAAAGATTACTGGGTTCATACCATGCTGTTGCAGAATGGAAAATTAACGCTCCCAAGGTACCTGGAGAAACAGACGTACAAAACTGTGCGCTGTTGAAAGCAAACCTGTCAAGTGTGAACCACAAAATTCCACAGAGCAGAATAAGTAAAAATAACTTGAGCAATGTGACAAACTGCATGTTTGGGTAACAAGTGAAATCACAGCTCGTACTGCAGTTCAACAAAAGCGCCAGGCTGTACCAAACCATTTTTAGGAATATATAAAAACGTGGAAGATACCTATGCAGCAAGGAAAAGCATTTCCTTCTCAGCAAAAATATCACAGATCACCAAAAGGCTATGGCGGTTGAGCACAGAATTTGTTTCTACAAGACTGATTGATTGCTTTTGGGTGCTGAGCAGCCTGTTCAAGTGAAGAAGTTCTCCCAAGCGACTTGTGTGCCTTTCAAACACATATTTCCTTACCTACTGCCTACACCAGTGTTGTCCAAACTTGGCCACTTTAAGATGAGTGGACTTCAACTCCCAGAACTCCCCAGCCAGCATGGCTGGCTGGGGAATTCTGGGAGTTGAAGTCCACTCATCTTAAAGTGGCCAGGTTTGGACAACACTGGCCTACACTAACTTGTAACTTTGTTAGCTACAATTCACTGTTTAACTACCTCATGCCTTAGATATTTTATTTTTATTTTTTTATTTTTATAATCACATCCCAATTATGACCTGAGGAGACCCAGCCTTGTATCATATATACGCTGTGGTGTCTTGTCAAATCAGGGGACAATGTCCAATGCTGTCACAATCGAGGATAAATGAAACATTTTCAAAACAGTTTTCCTACGTGAGATATTCAGATGACAAATTTATCTTTCAGTGAAATTTAAGCTATAGCACTGACACAAGCACACTTTTTATTCAGCTTTTATTCTGTTTCTGTTTTTTATTCTGTTTCATCCAGCTATGAGAATGCAGCACAGAATCAAAAGAATGTTGCTGAGCAAGGATTAACACTCTCATTCTTCATAAAATATAAAAATAATGTCAAAGTTTTACAGTTCATTAGTTTGAAGTTTGCATCTTGGCCTTCACTATACTGTGCTCAAACATTTTATTTGGTACATTCGTACATTTATATGCCACCTATTTATTTTAAAAGGATTAATAATAATCCTTATTGTAAGGATTATGAGATTATAAAGATTATGAACCAAGAAGGTAATTAATATATTTGTTTATTATAAATTTCACTTTATTTACACAAAAAACAGCAAAACAAAACTCTTAAGTAAAAAAAAATTACATAGCTTTTTCTGTTATTCAGGTGATATGATGCATGGCTGAACATGAAACCACATACTACTTAAAGATATATTAATGTTCAAGTCTTTTTTTTTTTATTTTAAATTTTCAGAAAGACCTTGGTGCTATTCATTTAAGTTATTTTCAGCTTACTGAGAAGAATGCCTTCTAAAAATGTGCATCTGTCAAGATGCACACTGGCTTAATGGTTGCCAAGCAACTAAAGATGACATCAGTGCACTGTTTTTATACCTACCTGATAATAAAGCCTCCAGCAAAAAGAAAAAAGAAAAAAGAAAAAAGAAAAAAGAAAAAAGAAAAAAGAGGAAAGGAAAGGAAAGGAAAGGAAAGGAAAGGAAAGGAAAGGAAAGGAAAGGAAAGGAAAGGAAAGGAAAG